GGGTGACAGCGAGCGGGCCATTGACTTCAATGCACTGCAACGCCCGCTCCCGCCCCAAAACAAAGTAAGCTGGTAGGAGTGTGTTCCAGTGGCCAAACGCTCTGGAACGTACTCTTTATGGTGTGAACCGGCCCTCATAGCCTTCCTGTGGGGCTTGGGCAACATCACCAGTAGGGATGAGATCAGGTTTGGACAAAACCCAGTTTCTCTGAACCAAGAAGGAGCTCCTGCTGAACACAGAAGGAAGATCTTTCCATGCCACCTAATCAGCTGCAGGCAGGGAATCCCCCCCCCCCCCCCCAAACAATACCAACAAAAAAAACCCAATAACTTGACATAAACAGTGATGTCATTGACCTTATATGGCTACATGCATATATTTGGTAAATTACATTTATCTAACATGGCTACGTGGGCTTATAAGGTAAATGACATCAGCGCAAGTATACCACTCCTTTGTTTACATGCAGCTATGGGGTGCGGAATGGCCGGCCCGCAGCTGATTAGGGGGAAGTGCCCATGGCACTTCCTTGTTTGGAAGAGCCCGTCCAAACCTGAGCCCATCTCTAGTCCCCAGTGCCTCACTATACCAGGAAATGGGATCACATAAAAAAAGTAAAAGCAAAAATTAAGGTATACAAAGGAAACAAAATACCCTTGCATTGGGGCTGCCCCTGCACTGCAAGGGTTAAATGCTTGTTTATGCCTAAGGTTCTTACATACAGTGGCGTCAATAGGGGGGTGCATCCCGCACCTGGGTGACACAGTTCGAGAGGTGACACCAACATGACCCCCTCTGAAAAGTCGGGCACTCGGTCATGGACCAGGGGGCATGCCCATGACACCCTGCACTCCCAGGAATTGGGTGCAATGACTCTGAGCATCAGCATCATACCCAGGTGCTGGCCCACAAAGCGGTGATTCTGTAGAGAGCAGAGAGGAGGTGAGTATTGCAGAAAGAGAGGAGTGGAGCATGTAAAAAAAAATAAAGTAAAACTGGAGTTGTGCCTTAAAGTGACATTAAAGTCAATTCTTTTTTCCCCTCCCCCCAATGTTAATGTCAGCACTTACCTTAAATGATGTTTCTTAATAGTTTTTTTGGGGGGGGGGTTACACTTTTTGCATAGATCTAATGCTTGCTAGCAGTACAGTTGATCTATGCAAAAAAACGTAAGCTTTAACTATCTCTTAAGCAGCCTCTGTCAGTTTCAAAAACTGATTATCAAGTTTTGTCAGTGGGTGCCCGTATGTTACTTCAAAATGATTGTGATAACCACCTACAAAGTGTTTGGGGTTTGCTGACCACCTCCTTACAGCTCTGCTATCAGTATTAACACTCAGTCTATTCAAGGCTCCCTTTTTCTTCTCTTTGTCAGCAGTTGTTATTTTTTGGGCAATTAAACTCTGAGCACTGAAAGCCTCTGACTCTGTCCAGATCTGTGTACTGAAAACCAAAAATATGAGCAAAAGTGCACTTTGAATTTGCAATACCTATTTTCAGAATAGAATTTGTCTACCCCTAGAGATGCATATGTGCTGCGTTTTTGGTCAATATTGCTGCGCTATTTAACAGCAAATGCCTCACAGCTGGGCTTACCATTTTATGTAAAACCACATTACATTAAAAGCTGTAAGAAATCACAAGCAGTTCACATCAGCCGTGTTATTTATTAAGGGGGAAGTGCAGAAACTCATACCAATCAATCAACCAACAATCATTTTTTCATTGCTTCACTCTGCACATCATCATTGGGTTTTTTTTACTGCATCATTAAATAAGCCTGAAAACAATTTAAAGTGTATTAAGTTGTTTAAAAGGGAAAGTAAAACATATTTGGTAAGTATAGATGTGCCATTTTTGTTCACTTTTAATTCACCCCTTTAGTTTTTCATTCTTTAACGATTCCACCATCTTCTTGATTGAAGGCACACATATGATTAGAATACAAATACTCTTATCATCCAGCAGAATGTAATAAATTATAGTAAATGTTAGAATCACCAGATAAAAATAGATGGTACAGCTAGCTGATCCTCACTGACATGTAGTAGAAAACCAAGGTCACCTTTGACAGTTCTGTGTGCTCAGAAAATAACATATTTCATCAAGACCACCCTTAGTGCAAACCTATTTAGTAGTGACGACCATTAAAGTAAACCACGTAGTCAGTTCAAAATTAAGCATTCGATGGCGAAATGCATGTGTAGAGCCTAACTCAGTGAAAACCACATGATCCAAATGATCAGCAGATCCAGAAATACAGACAGCTGGAATGATATGCTTTTCTAGTAAAATCAAGCTTGGCTCCCTCCTTTTCCATCTATAGAATCTCCCTATTCAGCACTGGGGCTGCCCATCACATAGAAAGACCAGCAGGAGGCTCAGTTAGCAGAAAGGAGCAAGGTCAAGTTTTAATTGTACAGGAAAAAATTGATATCTCTGTATACAACTTTAGCTTTTTATATCTCAGGATTTACTTCTCGTCTTGCCAGAAGACATTTCCAAAATACCCCTTCTGAACCAATGACATAACCAAGCTACTAATTCACTCCCTTATATCTCACCTCAATTAATACAACTTCCTACATTCTACACAGGCTATCACCCCTTCTGTCTACCATTAGTGTTAAGCCAGGCACATCTACCCTACCAACCTCCCCTCTGCGACACTCCCTCTACTGCCTTCCACAGAGCCTGACAAATAAAATTCGTAACAAAAACATACAAGCCACCCACAACTCTGCTCCCAGCTACATCACCAACCTCGTCTCAAAACATCACCCAAGCCATCGTCTGCACTGGTCCCAAAACCTACTGCTCTCTAGTCCATTGTGACCTCCTCCCATGCTCACCTCGTGGCCTTCTCCAGAGGCTCCCATCTTCTAGAACTTCCTACCTCAATCTCTTCGGCTATCTCCTACTCTGTCCACCATTATGGGACCCCTGAAAAACCCATCTCTTCAGGGTATGCCTATCCTACTTATTCTACCTATCAAATGCATTTTTTTTCCTTAATCCATTCATCCCCTCACAGTTTTTACCTTTTGTATCACTTGCCCTTCCCTTTTAGATTGTAAGCTCTAATGAGCAGGGACCTCCTAACCCTCTTGTCTTGTATTGTAACTGTACTGTCTCCAGGGCCGGATTTCCCATAAGGCCTGGCCTTGGGGCAGCAGGGGTGTGGAATTCCTATCTCCCGATGCCCGGGACATGCAGTTCCGGGCACCTGGCGGGTAGTTGTTATCTACATTTAGCCCTGCTTTGGGTAAGCAGAGCTAAATGTACAGTGGGGAAGCCACCACCTGTTTTGTACAAGTGGTCTCTTGCCCCCCGCAATTCTGCCATTCTCCATGGGGGGGCGGGGGGGGGTTGGCGGATAGGGGGCGCATTGAGGAACCTGGTCTTGGGGCAGCAGCGAGAGTAAATCCAGCCCTGACTGTCTCCCTTTATTTTGTAAGTCCCTGGAAAAACTGTCAGCGCTAAATAAATCCTGTATGATAATAATAATTACCCCTGAACTGGACGCAAAGGTGATTTATACACCATACAAAAGATTTTACATCTCTACCATTATGTCAATCGGTAATCTGTAAACCAGGAAATGTTCACCCTTCTAATTTGACTCAGTACTGACCTCTGAGTGTTGTGCACCGGAGCCATTGAATGACTCAACTGGGTTTCCTCTGCTCTGTTTGGTTTCTACTAAAATAAAATGATTTGAGCTTGTAATCCCTTGCTCCTTTTATCTATGCTTCATGCCAGTTTCCTAGAAAACACTACTTCACCTTAGCATATGGGCCAGAGGAGGGACAATTACTATCTGTTGATTTCTCCAATATACACTATGTTTTCTACTTATGTACAGTCCATCCAAAGTTAAAGGAGAGCTAAAGTGTGCATTTATATTTCACATAATTTAATTTTAGCAGAAACCAAATGAAACAGAGCAAACCCAGTGGCTCTGGTGCACAACACTCAGAGGACAGTACTAAGTCAAAGTAGAAGGGTGAACATTTTCTGTTTTTTCAGATTACCGAACATAATGGTAGAGATGCAAATTCCTTCTTTGTATGTAGTATAAATCAC